GGAAATCGGCACCTTCAGCCTCTGCTGGTAGGAGCATAAACTGGTCTCTAGTCCTCGCCCCACCATCCTCTGGCTGTCTTTACCCTGCTAAGCCTCAGTGTTCCCATCTATAAACCAGGTAGTGCCTTCCTCCTAGGTTTTTTCCAAGGACTGAATGAGATAATGCGTTAGAAACGTTTTGCCCAGAGCTAGGCACATGGTCACATTCAACACGTAGCTATTTCAAGAATGATTTCTTTCGGTGACCAATTTGACAAATACCTGTCAAAGTATTTATTCCAGTTTTATTGAGAAATGATTGACATGACTTCACTGTGTAAGTTTAAGGTGTACAAGCATGACGGTCTGATTTACAAATACTGTGAAATGATTACCACAATAGGTCCAGCTAACATTCACCTTCTCATATAAATACAATAAAAAGAAAGAAGAAAAGGAAATATATATTTTCTCCTTGTGATGAGAACTCTTAGGATTTTTTCTCGACTTTCCTATATATCATACATCATTGTTAGCTGTGGTTATCATGTTGTATACATTACATCCCTAGTACTTACTTATCTTATAGCCAGAAGTTTATACCTTTAGACCACCTTCCTCCAATTCTTCTTCCCCCTACACCTGGCCTCTGGTAACCACAAATCTGATCTGTTTTTCTGTGAATTGGTTGTTTTGTTTTTCCTGTTTGTTTTTTAGATCATACAGTATTTGTTTTTCTCTGACTTATTTCACTTAGCATAATCTCTTCAAGGTCCATCCATGTTGACGTAAATGGTAAGATTTCCTCATTTTTTTATAGCTGACTAATATTCCATTGTGTATATATATCACAACTTCTTTATCCATTCATCCATCGATAGACACAGGTTGTTTCTATATCTTGGCTATTGTAAACAATGCTGCTATGAACATGCGGGTGCAGATATCTCTTCGAGTTAGTGTTTTTGTGCCTTGTCCAAGTGTTACGTGCATTTCCTTTCATGCAACAATTCAACTTCTAGGATTTGTTTTCTATAAAAAACACCAGAAAGCAGGAATATATGCTATATAGATATCAATCATTATATTCTTTTTAACAGTAAAAATTAGGGTCAATACAAGAAATCTCAAAGAATAAAATGTAGAAATAGTCCAAATAAACGTTGCTAAGATACCAGTTCTTCAGAGGCTCTAGCATGGTTAAAACTGTACCTGCTTCAAGTTTTGTTTGGGGTGTGTGTGTGTGTAACATCTTTGGCAAGCAGCCCAATTACTATCATTCTCAGGTTTCCCAGCTCTCTAAAGAAGATGAAAATATACCTTTGTTCTCAGCGCTACGGGGATAGTGTCATAATCAATATTCCTGAGAGGTTCTTACAATTTTGGATAAGGGTCACATAAGAACAGAAGTCACTCTACTGGTACTGCTCTCTTCCACAATACTTCTAGAAGCCATTTAGTAACCACAAAATAAACAGATTTTAATGTTCCTTTGTTGACAGATGATGAAAGTTAGCCTAATGATAAGACCCTATACCTGATCTACATTATCATCAACCTAAGACCCAGCTCAGTACTGGCCAAAGCAAAACTTGTATTGAATTACTAAACACTTATCACATCTAAATGCAAATTAAATTCTCCCTGGGGGTCCAATTACCAATAATTTACTCATTTAATCCCTTAATACTATAAAGATTGGTTAAAAGGTCAGCTCACTTGCAGTTTTAATATTTTATGAATTGAGTCTTTTTTTTCCCCCCTCAACAGCTATTACCATTGCAGTAATGTGACCTATGAATTTTCCAGGTGATTTGTTATAGCTGGAAGGACACAGGAAGAAACTGCTTGTAGTTGTTCACCAAGTCGGTCATCCCCTAATGCCTTCGCTCCTGCCTTTCACGCCCCCGACCCCCGCCGAAATGTTCTTCCTTCATTTTTTTTTTTTTTTTAAACTAGCTTAGACTTTCCTGTGTGCCTCAGAGCCTAAGGCAAATCCTGAATCAGAGTGAAATGCTTCTCCCCTCTGTTTCCACAGCAACCTGGGAGCACAACTCCATCTTTCCCTTATCCCAGGAAACTAGGGGTTATGTCTCTTTCACCTCCTATACCCAGGTGCCTCATAAGACCTCATACATGGTCATTTTTAACTAAACTTCACTCTTCCCTTTTCTCTATTCTTTTGCTCATGTGCCTCTTTTTGTTTAAAAAGCAAACACACACTCACCCACACCTCAGAATTTGCAAGAAATTTAAGTCATGTAAGTGAACTGGGGCCCCCATGGCTTCATATGGCTTTCCCTATCACCATTCTCTTGCTGGCTGCCCTGACCAGGAAGAAAGAACTCTGGGATTTAACTCTGCTCCCCAGAGCACAGACTCAACCCCCATTTGACAATCAGAGTGCAGAGGGAGCTTCCTCATTGTTCGCCCGGCCTCCTGTTGACTTAGGACTGAGTCAGAAGGGCTAAAAAAGACGATGTAATCCTTTTGTGCCTGAAACCACCCTGGGCTTTGAGAAATCTTTCAGATCACGTGTT